TGTCGGGGGAGGGAGGAGGAAGGGGCTGGGACGCTTGGCGCTGCCCCCAGCAAAGAAAGCCAAGGCTGCATCCCGCCCGGCTGTTAATCCCCTCCCTGCGGCTGTGTGGAAAATGATAACGCTTCCCTCTCGGTTTGATTCATTGGAAGAGAAAGGGAAATGTGGCAAAATTAAGACACGCACCAAAAAAAAAAAAGTCTGTAGAAGATAATCTCCTGTGGCTTTTAAATTGCACCGAGCAATGGGTTTATTGCCAGAGAATTGCTCAGCTTGTGTAATAGGATCAGGGCGGGAAATTATCTGTGGAGATTTCATCCTTCCCCACAACGTGGGCACAGAGAGGGTCGGGAGCCCCCCCTGCCCCCCGAGGCCATTCCCACGTGCCGCCAGCCCCTCGGGGATGGGAGGGAGGGTGATGCCAGCCTTTGGTGTCCTTCATGAGCACGGTGGTGCAGGAGATGCTGGGCAGAGGCGCTGGGATGGGCCAGCTCCTGCTGTCCCCATTCCATCAGCGTCACCTCTCCGGGGGGCATCCGGGGTCCCCATCGCTCGTCCCAGTGGTGCCGACCCTGCAGCAGGGCTGCTCTGAGCCAAACGCTCTGAGAGTGCAAAGAAGAACGGGGAAGGGGCTGACGGGCCACGGGAGCGCGGCAAAACCTTCAAACTCCTCCTGGTCTGTCCTGCCCGAGCCTCCCTGGGGCTGGGGGGCGAGCTCTGCATGAGGGACAGAGCCAGCCGGGACGGGCTCGGGGCGTGGGGCGCAGCTGGGGGAGGAAGGGGGCTGTGATGCTGTGGGAGAGGGGGTTTGGGGAGCAGAGGGGCTGGCAGGTTTGGGCAAAGGGCAGCAGCTTGGTAGGAAGCAGGAGATGGCTCTGAACCCTGGCTGGGGACCCACATGTCCTGCCCCACCGTCCCTGTGGCCCTGGATGCTCTCTCCTCCGCAGTGCCCCTTAGGAAAGGGGCAGGGATGGGGGATGCGAAGGGACGTGGTGGCTCATCCTCTCCCCGCTGTGAGCCTGCCCTGGTCCCGGCAGCTCCCACCATCTCTCTTGGTGATGAGCAGCAGCTCCTCTTTTCTCCCTCCATCACCCCCTAAACCAAGCACCAGCCGCCTCAAGTCCGGCCTTTTCGGAAGCTTTGGGTCAATGAGGACATGCAGTGGCACCGTGATGGGCTTGAGCACCCACCGACATCGTGGGCTGCCGGCCCATCCTGTCCCCCTCCCCGTGCCCTGCTAGGCTCCGACGGACACGTCTGGGGTCCCTGACATGCCCAGAGGGACAGAAGGGCACGTGCATGGGGGGGCTTGGGCAAAAAAAAACCCTGAAGCGAAGTCCAGTGCTCCCCAGAGCCACGGCTTGGGCTTCCCCAAAGGCAGAAGGGCTGGAGCCAGCCTGGCTGCCCCTCGGGTAGTGCACGCCAGTTTGCCCCAGTGCTGTGGGAGTGATGGGACCTGGCTCCCCACGCTGGAGGGGTCGGTGCCCCTCTGCCCCTTCAAGCCATCGGTCTGGCTGTGCTGGGCTGTTGAAAAATTTGGAAGACAGCGAAGGCAGGGGTCCGAGCCTGTGCGAACGGAAACGTCCCATGGACAGGCAGGGGTTGCCATGAGAAGCAGGGCTGGTGTGGCGAGAGCAGCCAGAGCGTGGATAAATGCTGCCGATAGAGAGCAGATGAGGAGAGGGATGCTCTTGCCCATGAGGTGCAGCGGCCAGGAGACACCTGGGAAGGCACAAGGCAAATAAATCTTGGCAGCGAGGAGGTGGAGGACTCGGAGGAGGGAGAGGAGGAGGAGGGGGCTGCCGAGACATGGTGAGCATCTCCCCGTGGAGGCAGGCATGCCAGGTTGGTGCCCCCGCGTTGCTTTGGTGGACTCCCTACTGCGACGCTGGTGGTGATGCTCTGCCCAGGCTCTCGGACCCGCGCTGCTTCGGGGACCGGGGGTGAGGACCCAACCCCAGGAGATGTTGAACCACTTCGGGTCACATCAGTCGGCTCATTTGGGATATTTTCTCTGTGGGCCTTTCACCCCCAGCGCAGGGCTGAGACCTGCCCCGCTCGCTCCGCCTCTGCAGGGGTGGCTGAAGGGGCTGGCTCTGATCTCGGTACCCCCCAAATTACCCACGTTCCCTCGCTGGGCCCAGAAACACCCTGCAGCGCCCTGACCAAGCGGCTCTGCCACTTAATTAGGTTAATGACAGTGCTTCATTACGGAAAGGCGGCTGATGAGTTTGCACCGGCTCTGGGAGGTGCATTTCCAGGCGTGGTGGCAGCCCAGCAGATTTGGGGCACAGAAGGGGACAGGGTGGGGGGAAGGGGAAGCAGAGAAAAGGGAAAGCGTCAGCGGCGAAGTGCTAATCCCTGGAAAGGAGGGCAGGCGGGGCACCGCGCCACACAAGGTCGGTGTTAATCCCTCATCTGTGAAGATTGTGCCTGCGGCCCCCCTTAATCTCCGCTCCGAGAGGGCGACGCTAGGGACGGGGACGGGAGGACTGGTCCCTACGTGTGGCGCCGAGCGTCGCCCATCCTGCGGGACCTCGCCGAGCCCGGGGCCTGGGAAGGATTTGTGCCGCCGGATGAGACCTCGCTGCAGCCACATGGGGAGCAGCGGGGATGTTGCATTCTGCCTGTGTCACAAGAT